AAATATGCATCTCTTCCAGTCAGTTGGTCAGGTAGCTGTGTTCCAAATTTCTTGGCACAGACGAGTGAGCACTTGCAGTGCTGCATCCATTTGTTGAAACATTTCAGTTGGTATTCTGTCAATTTCTGGAGCCTTGTTTTTTGCCAATGCCTTCAGTACAGCTTGGACTTCTTCCTTCAGTACCATCAGTTCTTGATCATATGCTACCTCCTGAAATGATCGAACATCGACCAATTCTTTTCAATACAGTGACTCTGTGTATTCCTTCCATCTTCTTTAATGCTTTTTGTGACGTTCAGTATTTTGCCCATAGGATCCTTCACTATTGCAGCTCGAGGCTTGAATTTATTCAGTTCCTTCAGCTTGAGAAATGCCATACATGTTCTTCCCTTTTGCTTTTCCAACTCCAGGTCTTTGCACATTTCATTTTAATACTCTTTTTCAGCAGCCCTTTGAAATACTCTGTTCAGCTCTTTTACTTCATTTCTTCTGTTAGCTTTAGCTACCTGACATTTAAGAGCAAGTTTCAGAGTCTTCTGACATCCATTTTGGTCTTTCTTTCTTTTCTGTCTTTTTAACGACCTCTTGCTTTCTTCTTGTATGATGTCCTTGATGTCATTCCACACCTCATCTGGTCTTTGCTCATTAGTGCTCAATGCGTCAAACTTATTCTTGAGATGGTCTCTAAATTCAGGTGAGATATACCTGAGGTCATACTTTGGCTCTCTTGGAATTGTTCTAATTTTCTTCAGCTTCAACTTGAAGTTGCATATGAACAGCTGATGGTCTGTTCTGCAGTAGGCCCCTGGCCTTGTTCTGACGGATGATATTGCGCTTTTCCATCGTCTTTTCTACAGATGTAGTCGATTTGATTCCTGTGTATTCTATCCAGCAAAGTCCATGTGTATAGTGGCCACTTATGTTGTTGAAAAAGGGTATTTGCAATGAAGAAGTCATTGGTCTTGCAAAATTCTATCATGCGATCTCTGGCATGGTTTCCATCACCAAGGCCATAATTTTCCAACTAACGATTGTACTTCTTTATTTCCAACGTTCGCATTCCAATCACCAGTAATTATCAATGCATCCTGATGGCATGTTCAATCAATCTCAGAGTACAGAAGTTGGTAAAAATCTTCAATTTCTTCATCTTTGTCATCAGTGGTTGGTGCATAAATCTGAATAATAATTTATTAACTAGTCTTCCTTGTAGGCGTATAGATATTACCCTATCACTCACAGCGTTGTACTTCAGGACAGTCTTGAAATGTTCTTTTTGACAATGAATGCAACGCCATTACCCTTCAGTCTGTCATTCCCAGCATAGTAAACCAAATGATCGTTCGATTCAAAATGGCCAATACCAGTCCATTTCAGCTCACTAACGCCTAGGATATCAATGTTTATGCGTTCCATTTCATTTTTTACAATTTCCAATTTCCTACATTCATACTTTGCGCATTTCACGTTTCAATTATTAATGGATGTTTGCAGTTGTTTCTTCTTGAGTCGTGCCACCTCAGCAAATGAAGGTCCTGAAAGCTTCCACTCCAGCCATGTCATTAAGGTTGACCTTCCTTTGAGGAGGCAGCTCTTCCCCAGTCATCTTTTGTGTGCCTTCCAACCTGAGGAGCTCATCTTCCAACATTATACCAGATAATGTTTTGCTGCTATTAATAAGGTTTTCACTGGCTAATTTTTTAAAGAAGTAGACTGCCAGGTCCTTCTTTCTAGTCTGTCTTAGTCTGGAAGCTCAGCTGAAACCTGTCCACCATGGGTGACCCTGCTGGTATTTAAGTACCGGTGGCATAGCTTCCAGCATCACAGCAACACGCAAGCCCCCAAAGTATAACAAACACGTGAAAAGATGCTCAACATCATTTAGCCATTAGAGATGTGTAAGTTAAAACCACCAAAATACACCATCATTCACCTATTAAAACCAAAAACCAACCCACTGCCGTCGAGTCAATTCCAACTCATAGAAACCCTATAGGACAGAGTAGAACTGCCCCACAGAGTTTCCAAGGAGCACCTGGTGGATATGAACTGCCGACTTTTTGGTTAGCAGTGGTAGCACTTAAGCACTATGCCACCAGGGTTTCCATCCACCTATGAGGATGGCTCAAATAAAAAAAACTGGCAACACCAAGTACTCACAAGGATGCATTCCCACATTGCTAGTGGGAATACAAAATGGCACAGCCACTGTGAAAAACAGTTTGGGAGATTTTTAAAAAGTTAAAATATATACCTACCATGTTGCTGTTATATGACGTTGAGTTGATTCTGACTCATAGAGACTCTGAAGGACAGAATAAAACTGTCCCACAGGGTTTCCTAGGCTGTAATCTTTATGGAAGGAGCCCTGGTAGTACAATGGTTAAGAACTCGGCTGCTAACCAAAAAGTCGGCAGTCTGAACCCACCAGCATCTCCACAGAAGAAAAGACTTGGCAATCTGCTCCTGTAAAGATTACAGCCTAGGAAACCCTATGGGGCAGTTCTACTCTGTCCTATAGGTTCACTGAGTAGGAGTTAACTTCACAGCACACAACAACAATCTTTATAGGGGCAGATCACCAGGTCTTTTGTCCTGCAGAGTTGCTGGTGGGTTCAAAGCGCCAACCTTTCAATCAGCAGTCAGGTGCTTAATCACTTTACCACCAGAACTCCTACAATTACCATAGAACCCAGCAATCTCATTCCTAGTTATTTACCCAAACAAAATGAAAATCTGTACGAAAATGTTCACAGCCACTTTACTCCTATTCATCAAAAATTGGAAACAACTCAAATGTCTCTCAATAGTGGAATGGATAAACAAACTGTGGTATATCATAAAATGAAATACTACTCAGAAATAAAAAGGAATAAACCCTTAATATACGTAACAACTTGGTTGAATCTCAAATGCATTACACTAAGTAAAAGAACCCAGACTCAAAAGGCTACATACTATATGATTCCATTTATAAGGTATTCTAGAAAAAACAAATCATAAAGTTAAATAACACATCACAAGTTGCCAGTGAAAACTGATATTTTCGGGTCAAAGGGGCATTAGGTCTGTACCTTGCTCTTAAAAGGTCCAGGAAAAAATTAGGAAGAAAGACTTGTGTAAGTGCAGGCAAATAAAGTAAAATGTTAATATTTGGTAAATCTGAGTGAAGGGTACCCAGGAATTTTTTGCATACCCTTGCCACTTTTTTTTAAGTCTGAGATTATGTGAAAATTAAAAATAAGCTATTAAAAAAAGCAAATGTCCCTTGGGCAAGAAATATGAACACATCACGTCAACACGAACACATCTACTAGAGCCTAAGGAAAACTGTGGCAATGATTCAACTATGCATGGGGTTATGTCTCCAACCACACAGCCAAGAGTTCCAAGGTTAAGCTAATCGAAAGGCTGGAAGTTCAAGTCCACCCAGAGGCTCCATGGAAGAAAGGCCTGGCGATATACCGTATTCTTTCGCAAATAACACACCCACACATGTAACGCAGTGGCCTAGCACATTTATGAAAATAGTGCAGGGAGGAGGGGTTTGAGCAGTTGGCAAAAAAATACATAACGTGTTATCTGTGTAAAAATATACGTGGTACTTTTGAAACATCTGCCATTGAAAACCCTATGGAGCACAGTGCTACTCTGACACACATGGGGTTGCCACTGAATTGAAATGGATTCAAAGGCAACTGTTTTGTTTTTGTTTTTTTTAACTGTGGCAAGGAATTACCTTGATGTTATTAAACATCTAAACTACACAAACAACTCTCCCTCTCCTGTTGCCTTGCTCATCAAGGAACTTCTGACTATAAAAAGCAGCTTTAAGTGCAGGTCTGGCTACAAAAGAAGATAATGATCATACTGACTTGCAAAATACTTATAAATTGGGTTATAAATCAGCTTCTTGTGAATTTGATTAATACCAGCCTCCCCAAGTCATATAAACTTTGGGACATCAATAAGAATATTTCAGGACCTGCAAGCCTGGAAACCAAACTCTAAAGTGGTAGATTTATCAAGGTCATATAACTCTGTGTAAGTTCTTGACTGACAGCTTTTGTCTTAGCTACAGACCTTCACCTTGTCACAGCTTTCTTTCAACCAACAGGTTTCATTACTCATAAAGATACAACATCAAAAAGAAAAATACCAAATTGGAATGGTTGGAAACTATTTTTCAGTGGAAAAAATCATGTATGACAAGTACTTAAAGAACATAACAATTCCACCTTAGAAAACTGCATGATACCCTTTCATTTAAATATGACATTGATGCCATCATTTCAGTGACACACAAAAAAAGAGGAAAATGTTTACATCTTCATGCTTTTAAAAATCTTGACACAAAAGAGGTAAACACAGACCACAAGTGTGAACTGCCTACGGCCAAGCTCACCTGTGAACAACTAAGCAAGCCATCCCTACTAGATTACCATGAAAAAGAGAAGGATGTAGCTCTTAGTTCCCTAACTGTAACCAACTATGTAGACAAAAAGGAAGCCACTTTAGAAAGTTCAGGCCTTTATTCAAAACTTCAGAAATGGGGTAACCAGTCTTTGAAAAAAAAAATTTTTCCATTCACACTTGCTCAATCTCTTTATTTGGTGGTATACACAGAATTAAGGAGCCCTGGTGGCACAATGGTTAAGCACTTGACTGCTAACTGAAAGGTCTGCGGTTCAAACCAAGTCAGCAGCTCCATGGGGGAAAGACCTTGCAATCTGCTCCTGTAAAGATTACAATCTAGAAAACCCTATGAGGCAGTTCTACTCTGTCATACTGGTCCCTATGATTCAAAAATTGACTGCATGGCACCTAACAACAACATACATAGAATGAATCAATTAGCTCTCAGTTCTGGCATAATTAGTTAAGTCTGGGTCTTCCTTACAGAAATAGGAGCTTAATACTTCATTTTCAGAACACTTTAATACCCAAGGCTTTTCTTTCAAGAATGCATTGGGAGGCACTCCTCATTCAAATCTTATTCATGGTTTTAAAAAGCATGTAGCTCATTTTTATTAGTTCATCATCAATATGCTGGAATCTATTACTCTTTTGAATGGTGACATGTCTCAGTGACAGAGAGCAAATTCCTTCCTTCTCGATTCATAAATCAAAATTTAAAACAAAATCCTTGAAATGATAGAAGACGCATTTTTGTGACATAAGCAGCTACTTTCCTGAGCTGCTGGCACAGGCAAAATTAACAAAAGTACCATTTTTTAAATTTAAACTTATATAACTAAAGATTCTGTTTGCTCAGATTCCACAAATATTTTAAATGTATTTTCTTCTACTGCAATAAAAATCAAGATAACCCCCAGTTTAACAGCATTTAAAGATGTTAACTTTATAAAGAAATTAAAAAGATTAACTTTCCTTCCAAATGCCCAGTGATAAACTGAACCTCAACATCTCTAATCCAAGGACACAAAAATAATCTAAAGTGGATCAAAGTGCATAACAAGTTCATACTAAAATAATTTTTATATGCTCTTTTACTAAATCAATCAATGTGAAAAGAATGTAAAAGCTTGTTATATGCTTGAAAATCTAGTTAATATCCAAGGAATCACAACTTTTGAACTTTCAAATCTAGCATCAGAGTATGTGGAAATACTACAGTGCCTCATATAAAAAGCAAAGTGATAAAACTCTACAAGTTCAGAAGTGACCTAAATATCAGTAAATACTTACAATTCTCCATATTTTTTTGTTATCTAAAACTTCAAAGCCATCAATCTTTTTCAGTGCTTTGAGTGAGCAATCAAAATACTCATATTTATTCAGGTTTAAAACTAAATTTCTCTTCTTTCAGTATGGAGGCATAGATGGAATACTCAGAAAAGATTATTCTGTCCAATTCCCTGAAATCCACAGATGTGAAAAGTCTACAGCATGATCTCATTATGTCATCATTGATGCACCTTCTTCACCAGTGGCATCCTGGGAAATGTGAAGGTCTTCAAGCATTTCAGCCAGACTAATTCGAGGTGCTCCTTCATCATCTGTGTCACTTTCCACAGGTATGGTAGAATCTAAGAAAAAAATACAGGAAAGATTTCAAATGAATACAAATATGGAAATATACAAATACCTGCCCCCCCCTACACATACCATTGTTTTTATCTAACTGTGTTTGATCAGGGAAGCCCTGGTGGCACAGTGGTTAAGAGCTCAGCTGCTAACCAAAAGGTAAGCAGTTAAAATCCATCAGCCGCTCCTTGGAAACCCTATGGGGCAGTTCTACTTTGTCCTATAGAGTTGCTATGAGTCAGAATCTACTCGACAGCAATGGGTTTTTGTGTTTATGTTTGAACAGAGGCTTCTGTATCATATCTAGAGCAGGTATTCAAATATGCACTTCATTCAGTGCATAATGTATGAATAAATTTCCACTAGTATAGAGGTCAGCAATCTGAGGGATCAGACTGAGATACAAATAATATCAAATGTTGTAGAGAAAACATTTTAATGTCTTACTGCTCTGCAAATATTTTTTTTTATAAAAGTGTGACTACAGAGTAGTTTAAAAAACACATAATGCTAATCAAAGTTTAAGATATCAAAATACTCATGCTGCAGTAATAAAGTCATACACAGAAGATTTGGGTTAAGTCAAAGTTCCTCAAACACCAACCTCGGTAAATGTTGACATTTTTTCTAATCACCTCATCTTCTTCGAGATCTTCAAGGAAATCTTCATATTGCCTATAGAAGGGTATAGAAACATTTAAATTTTTCATCTTTACCAAGAATGCATAAAGTTATGTTTTTATTTTCAGCAATATAAGATAAATGTGCTCTAAGTATTAAAATCTTAAAAAATATATTTGCAGGTCAAATATGAATGTTAATTGAATATTTTCACATAGGTTTAAAAACATTTTCTTTCTTTTAAGACTATAAATGAAATAGTCAAAAATAATATCTGAGTGATTTAACACGTACATAAATATTTTAAATTACACTGTAACATTATATTTTAGAAATATTGCTGTTATCCACTCACATTTACAAAACCACTTTATTTAAACTCTTCATTTTTCAGACATCAGTCTTTCACAATCACTTTTTGAAACAAACAATACAGTTTTCTAGAGTACATTATCTTCATTTCTGTTTAAGCTGTTTGAGAAACAGCATTTTTGATATTAGTGAGCTATATCTTATTTTATCCCAAATCATAGGTAGCCATTTGCTATTTGTGATACCTTTAAGTTTTCAACTGGTTTACAGTAACACTGCAATTGTCAGGTTATAACCTCAGAAATAATGAGTAAACCTGTGTTAAATATCATTAAATTCTTTTATACTGATTCAACTGATACCTCAACAAGAATCCAAAATTAATACTAAATAAGATCATTTCAGGAAAATTTGTCTTCCCTAAATGGTACTTTGTCATTCAAAATAAAATAATTTGTGAGTACCTCAAACAAGAGACTGTACCAACAAGAGGAATACAGGGGGGTGAGGAACTGATATTTAGGCATACATGGTATACATGAAATGAAACAAAATAAAGTTAATTCATTCTATTTATGGTGCAATCTTTCTATTGTGTTATTATCATTAAATTATGAAATCTAAAATTATGCTTTCTACATAAGTCAGAATTTAAAATCTGTTGTACTACTTCTTTAATTTTTTCAGATAAATATTAGACTCCAGGCTCATAAGATTAACATTCTGAAAAACTTCTCAGTTTTACTACTGTAAATTGTATTATATTTTAAGTATAGGAACTAAAATGTCTATGTCAAAAGTATAAATCTTTAAAAACCAATATTTATCTTCAAACATGTTTATTTTCATATAATTTCACGCAATTTTATTTGCTATACAGTAAAACTGGAATTTACATCAAAAGTGGTATTAAGGTGACATAAAGCAAAGAAACTACCAAAGACTACTAGTTACGTTAAAAAGATACAGGAGTGAACTTGAAGGAACTACCCACTGGCCAGTGCACTCAAACTAACTGGTGAGAACAGGTGTTTTGTTTTAAACTTCCAATTCATTGAGGATGATATTCTTGTTAAATGAAACAAAATACTACAACAATGTTAAATTGCTACAAAAGTTTCTAAACACTCTCAATTTTTGTACTTATCACAAACTGGTAGCAAACCATTAGGGACCGGTACCACCACACCTTGAGTAGCACTGGCCTAAGCAATGATCATGAGTGAATGCTAAAACCATTTAGGTGAAAGATTCATAGGAGCTTTAAAATGGATGAATTTAACTGAAAATATGAAAACCCACTGATCAATCAGCATCACAAAAAGTGGAACACTGAGACATGTATCTTCTGATGTGATACCATAGGAAACTCATACCACCACCTATGAATTCTTGCTCCCCCCCTTAAAAAAATGAACCTAAATCAAATAAAACTTCTAGAACTGACTACCAGTTTATAGGAAACATAATGGATAGAGAATGAGTTAAGGAAGGCATCCAAAAAAAAAGTAGTATTAAGTTCCAATCTTAATTACCAATTTTTAATAATATTAATGCTACCTCTTATTTCATCTACAGTGTTCTTACGCACTAACTGACCATTAAGGCCTTTGTAAACCTTTGACCAAGAGATGTGCCCAGCTTTTATAATAAAACACTGTTAAAGTTCTTTCCTTGGTGAAGGAAAAAAAGGCTGTGTGCCAGCTTGGTAGAAAGAAGCCTGCTCAGCATTACCCTGAACAGTGATATCACTATCCTAATGATGAAAGGAGGGGAACAATAAAATTCAGAGTAGAGGTGCAAGACAACAGTGCTGAATAGTCTTCCAATTCCCCAGTCAGAATTTCAGTATGTCCTTAGAACCACTTTAAAATATCACAAAATCCCTAACTCTTTCACTCACACTCAAGACGTAAATGCAAAAACATTTTCCAAAGCAAACTCTTTCCATCCCATTTTGGAAAACTATCATATTACAGACCAACTCTGACAATCTGGATGCAGAGCTGACACTGTTCTTTCTTCCTCAACATACAGAAGCATGTCAGTAGTTTTCACATTGTAATATGCACCAGAATACCTTATGGGGCTTATTTAAAATTCAGATGCTCTGTAAAGGCAACTCAGAGTCGGGGAAGATATTCACAATATATATATGCAACAAAGACTCATATCCAGAATATATAAAGAACTACTACAAATCAGTAAGAAAAGAAGACAATCCAACAGGAAAAGGAGAATAAGAATTAGACACTTGATTTCCAGTTGGTCAATAAATGCATGAAAAGGCACACTAAACTTCTGTAGAAGAAACTTCTGTCATTAGAAAAATGAAACTAAAACTAAAATGCATCAGAATTGGCTAAAGAGAAAAACACAGGAAATAACAAGTGTTGGCAAGGATGTGGAGCAACCAGAACTGTAATACACTACTGAAGTGAGTGAAGACGAAACACAACATCTTTGGAAAACCATTTGGCAGTATTATGAAGGGGCATACCCTATGACCAGTAGTTTCACTCTTAGAATATACTCAACAGAAATTAATCCATATGTTCTACAAAAGATGTGTACTAAAATGTTTATAGCAGCACTGACTGGCTGGCTTCCTTCCTCCCAAATGCCCACCATAGCAGAACAGAGAAACTGAATCCTATTCAGTAAAGAAAATGAACAATATATAATGATATCCAACAATATCAATGAATTGCACAGAATTTTAAGCGAAATGTTATACACAAACTGAATTTATATAAAGTACAAAAACAGGTAAACGTTGTCCATGGCGTCAGAAGTTGAGAGTGGTTATTTCAGGGGCAGGAAGAAGAGTCAGTTTGGTGTGATGAATCACTTTTATATGGCCTTTCTCATCATGGTCTTGTAACTCCTACCAAATGACTGGGTAGGACTACACAAATAAGGTGCTTGTGGCCCACCAAGGGGGATTGGACAGGTTGCTAATAATGGAAATAAGGTACATGGCCCTTGTGGGGATGGGATCATGCAAATAAGGTATATGAAACCCTAATGAGGGGATTGGTCAGCTTTGCCATTCCACCAGTCAGTCAGTCAGTCAGACAGTCAGTCAGTCAGATAGACAGTCAGTCAGACAGACAGTCAGACAGACAGTCAGACAGACAGACAGACAGACAGACAGAGAGAGCTTTAACACCAGAGAAAGAACAAAATGGCAAGAAGTGGTGGCTGTGGCAGCAGAACCAGTAGACCAGCACAAGACAGCAGAGCTAGGCTTGCCAACCCACAGAGTGAGAGAGCGGAGCATCCTCGGGCCGAGGCTTACTCACAGAGTGGAGTGTCTCTGGGTACTTACTGGCAGAGCTAAAGAGCTTTGTAACACTTGCCCAAGCAGGCCAGAGAAAGGCCCGCCTGCAGGCATGACTGATTAGAGGCTGTCCTGATCAAAGAACTGTATCCTGAGTTGTTCCTGACCATGAATTGTAACCTGTTACTTCCCCAATACACCCCATAACTGTGGAGTATAGTCTCTGAGTTCTGCGTGGCCACTGCAACAAATTATCAAACCTAGCAGAGAAGTAGAGAGTGCCATGGGATGGACGGCTGGTGTCACAATTGGTAAAAAGTTTGGAGGATGGAGGTATGTCTGACCTCCACCTCACAGCAATCAGCCTTGGGTTGTTGATGCTGATAATGATTCTCCTCCCCTTTGTGAAGTGAGAGAAGGTCTGACACCCTGCCATGACACTTTTACAGTCAGTGACTAGAAAAGAGTACAAGAGGGAAGGGCTTCTGGAGTGTTGGAGTTCTATTTCTTAATCTGGGTGCTAGCTACAGAGATATGTTCAGTTTGTGTCAGTTTATGGAGCTTTCACACTAATTATCTATACCCTTCCTGTACATATATTATACTTCAGTTAAAAGATTTTTAAAAAATTCAGATATCCAAGCCCTACTATGTATAAATTCCGAACGCAATCTATTTTTATAGGGGCAGAAAAGCTAAATGTCCCAATCTCTGGCTATCTTTACACCTTTGGTCACTGCCATTTAAAATACTGGTCCTTTTCTGTAACTGACTTAGTGCATTGTCAGTGAATATTATCTATAATTATATCCCTAATACAATTCCCCATCAACAAGAATCAGGGCTCTCTGTAAAAATGGTCAATTCCAAGTTCTGGGGCAGGTTAAGCCAGAAAGCAAGGAAGTCCTTAACAATAATGAGTTACATCAAAAGGCTAAGAGGCTGCCACTGGCCAAATTTGGGACAATTAGAGCAACAAAGATAATAATACCTGAACTTGATAACACATCGAATAAATAAGAATGACAGCTAATAAGTGTAGAAGGAATAAGCAAAACAGAAAACCACCAAATTCTAAGTCCCAATGTAATAACTGAATCAGGCAGTAGATACTAAAACAAAACCATTAGATGAAAGGCATTAGAATATTTGGATAGTACCAAAGTATCACCTGTCAGATTGCTCACTTAACAGCAAAGGGCAATGAAAACATCAGAGAGTCATCAGCTTAACCAAGTAGCATCACCAATAATGTCAGTTTGTCCCATCACATACCTTCTAATATATGCAACATACACCTTCACTCATTAATTATTCTTGCAAAAAAAAAAAATCTATCAAGCCTCTAAACTTAATTTCTAGTTTACCAAAAATATAGATAGGTGACTAAGTTAAATAACAGTACAAGGAAACAATCAAGCAAATACAGAATGTTAGGCATTCTACAAGACAACTGGCTTGTGCTCTTCAGAAAAAGAAGAAAGTCATTTAAAACAAAAACATAAAAAGACAAAAGATGGGGAGAGACTGTTCTAGATCTAAAAAGAATGAAAAGACATAAAAGATCATTTCAATATACAATCCTTGATTGGATCCTGGTTAAGAAAAAACTATAAAACAAAGTTTGGGATAGCTGGAGAAATTTGAATGTGGACCAGGTATTACATAATATTATGGAATTATTATTATTTTTCCACTTGTGATAACAGCCTTTATTCTTAATAGACGGAGTACTTAGTGATGAAATGTCTTGATATCTACAAGTTACTTTTAAATGGTTCAGCATACCATAAACCAACTATGGCCAGATTTTAACAACTGTTGAATCTAGGTGGAGGAAATATGGATACTTCATCTTGGTAAATAAGAGCCAGGTAACAATGGAAAGAATACAGTGACTGTGGAATTACTAATTGCTACCAGGTCTAACACGCAAACCAGAAGAAACTCAGCTTCAGTGGCTAGAAAATGCTCACCAGGCTATATGCAAGGATCAAATTGTGTGATGACTTTCTTCACAATATAAAAATTGTAACAATTTATCACAAAGATTTCCTTTAAGAGACAACACATTAGGTTTAAAGAAAAGTGGGACCTTTCATTATCTGTATCCATGTTTTCTCTATCTCTTGCAAGCTCTTTCAGTTTCCAGTTTCTGCGACGCTGACGTTTGGTACGGTCATAGTTCTTCTTGATTAATACCTAAAGGTAACAGAAGTATTCGAAAAGTTACAAAAACAAGAACTACATACTAGGGTCTCAAAATTCATTAGAGCTGAAAAATGAAAGGTTATGAGAATACTAGGGAAAAGTGACAAACTGATGACAGTGGCAATACCTTATGAGAAAGGAGTAAGGATCCAAAGGCCATGCTGAGGGAACATTTTTTTCCATGTACTTATTGGGGCATTATTTGTATAACTGTTAACATTAACCAACTGAAAATTTTCAGTGACTAAAAATTCTGAATTTTTTTAAACCAAATTTCAATTTTTGCTACTATTCCTATAAATCGTTCTGAAACATTATCACAGGCACTTTTTCTCCCCTTTTTTCCCATTAATAAACACAACAGTACGTCATGACTTTACAACTATATGTCCTAGCACAGTGTTCAATAAATAATTACTAAATGAATAAATAATTTTATAGAATACAAAAATTTTTAAGACCATCTTCATCTCTTCCCCTAACCTTATTAGGAATACTTATTTCGACTTACACATAAACCATGTTTCTACTTACTAATTAGGAAATAAAAGCACAAGTGGACGGTGGGGAGAAGGTCATTCTCTGACCATAACTTCCTTTCTACCTACATCTAAAGAAATCAATGCTTATTTGAAAACATTAAAGAAGCAAGCAGGAGACAGGGTCTCTCACACTGATTTCATATTCACTGTAGGTCATGAATCTTATAAGCTCATCATGTTAGAATTTAATAGGTTTCTCAGAAGTAATTTTCTCCAAGAACTGATGTTGTGAAGATTATATTTTCAACTGCAATTATGTTATACCTTAACTGCAATTTCAAAAAAACCTCTAAATTCATTTGCTATTTTCAAAAAAGTGTGAACTCATGCATCTTACCCGTAAGAGTTATATCAATCCTCTTTAATACGAGGGAAAATTCTAAAGCCTTACCACATCTGGGACTCTATCTGAGTTCATTTTGTTGACGTGGTCATCATTCAAGTTACAGTTGGCCAAATCAAACCTGAAATGGACACATGCAATTCACTATGTAAGAAATGTGCTTCTGTAGTTCACGGTAAAAATAATACTGCTCTGAGTTTCACAAATTATCCATTTGTAAAAGAATTATAACTGACATATATTAGTCTAACTTTAGATCTCAGATGGCTGGTTTCATCTAGTATATCAAAAAACTGTCATTCTATAGTAGAAGGAATTGAAACCATATGAGCAAAAGTCGTGCTAAAGACAAGCTGATAAACTTTGCATCAGAAAGGGTTATATGATGCCTATAAAGACCCTTTGCATATATGGCTGGCATTTTCTAAAGTGAAATATTTAAGCAGTAGTATATGCATAAAAAAAAACTACCCACCCTCCAAAAAAGCTGTAAATATAGATCAATTTCAGGGTTCAATTACACAAAAACTTGGAACAAATGACTAAGATTATGGCTAGCAATGGAAAACTAAAGACTTCTAGTCATTCCACAGTTTAATTACTTATCAATAATAAAATAAGTTAAAAAGCTTCTTAAGAACTGTTAAATTCTTTTTGGAATAATCTTTAGTATTTTAGGCAGTTTTCTTGACTTCCAGAGAAAATTTGCAATGCTAATCAGCAGTTTAAAATACTTTAAAGTAATACAAACCCCAACACCAGGTCTCCAGGATTTAGAAGATGCCCCAAATGTGTGCGACAAAAGTATTGTTTATCTGTATTCATTTCAGATGTTTTCTGTACCCAGACTTCCCCGAGGGTATGCTTTAATAGGAAAAAAAATGAACTCTTCAATAATCAAAACGTAACTCAAAAAGCATCTCACAGAAAAGTTAAACACAATATCGGTTCTGGGTTTTTTAATTGTAATTATAATAAAAGGAATTTTTCTTTTATTTTCCAGATCTCTGAAACACTGTCAAAATTAACAAATTACTAAACTAGGAATATAGAAAAATACTCTCAAGAAATTGATAAAAAATAAACCATTGGTTTTTGTTAAGATTTTATTTACAACTCTTCAGACAGTTGGACTGTGGGATATAAAGTGATGCTCGTGAGGAGCGTGCCTCTTAGCTCAAGTAGATACAAGAGACTAAATGGGCAGCTTCTGTCCAGAGGTGAGATGGGAAGGCGGAGAGGGTTAGAAGCTGGTTGAATGGACATGGGGAATGAGGGGTGGAAAGGAGGAGTGTGCTGTCACAGTATAGGGAGAGCAATTAGGGTGACATAACAATGTATGTATACATTTTTGTATGGGAGACTAACCTGAAATGTAAACTTCATTTGAACTACAACAATTAAAAAAAAAGATTTATTTAACACTTTTATAAAATATTAAATTACTGACAAAATTTGACCTAAAAACAGACATAGAGAACATTTTCAAAAGAAATGTTTCCCTGGGTAAAAGGGCCAATACAGAGACAGCAAAAGGAAATCTTAAAGCCAGGAAATATTCTAAGCAACCACTTGTTTTACAGATGGGGTACAGAAAGACAGGGTTCACACAAAAGCCCTATACCAATCCTAGTGTCACACTACTACAGAACCCAAATCTTTATCAGATTAATTTTTTAGACATCCACTTGCTTGAGGGTAATCTTGTTAACAATTTGTTGGACAAATAACATCCTAAGTTTGAAATTTTAAACTAGAAAACCATTAAAGTCCCTTTCTAATCTGAAAATTTATGAGCATTTATGGTACTAATAATCAGACATCTCAAACTTCCACGTTGGATTAACTATAGGACATGCCAACACCTTTTCCTAACAAAGACGGACACAAGTAAAATAGGATCAAGAACAAAATACTAAGAGATATAGGTAGAAATAGGAATCTCAAAGAGATGAAAGAAGAAAACTGAAATAAAAGATCCTAGAATTAGGAACGAACTGAAAAGGAAAAGTGATTTACCAGGTACAGACTAATTCTACTTAACAGGATTCACTTTCTAGCTACTAGACTGCTTCTATTTATAAAACTTTTAAACCTGTTCTGTTCTAGCTAAATGTACTTTTAAAAAATATAATACTATATTTACTTTTATATCTATCTGAGGGGTGTGGTAGTATTCTATACTACATTTATTATAAGTGATCAAAGTTTGTTCTTCACTATATTATTATTCTAATAAATATATGAAAAGTAATCTCTCTTCCATTTCTACTGGTTTTCCCAAATTATCAGAAGCTATTTTTGTCTCAAGAAACAATATTACCTCAATAGCAAGGTGTACCTTTAGTACCCAGACTGGGGTCTGTAATTACTATTTCAAACAAAATGAAACCAGGTTCTTTTAAGAAATACCTGATTTTAGATATGGAGCAAGAACTATAAAATGCAATCCTGTAACACTTTACTGTACTATAAAGTAAAACAACTAGGAAAGTCATGTCAAAAGGACACAGGAACCATTCTGAAGGAAGGTTCTCACTGGCTAAATCTGGGGCAATCTGAGCATTAAAAAAGGAAAAGAGAAAAAAGGAGGAAGGAAGGAAGGAAGGGAGAGAGAGGGGAGAAAAAAGGAAGGAAAAGAAAGACCACAATGATAATCAAAAAGAATGTCAAAATACAAAAACAAGTCAAAACTAATTTCGAGGACTAAAGGGGACTCTTAGACAAACTCTTTACTGTAATTGAAAATAGGTGCTAAGAGAAAGAACTAAGAAGTTATCCAGTGCTTCCATAAGAATAGCGTTTCAGGGACCTCATACCATCAAGAAAGCAATGCCAGGAGCAGAGCACATCCTTTGGACCGGGGTCCCTGCGCAGAGAAGCTCCTAGTCCAGGGGAACACTGAAGAGAAGAAGGCCGGCCGACAGAGAGAAGAAGCCTTCCCCTGGAGCTCATGCCCTGAATTTGGACTTTTAGCCTACTTCAACTGTGAGGAAATAAACTTCTCTTCGTTAAAACAAAAAAAAAAAAAAAAGAATAGCGTTTCACTGAGGCCAACATGGCGCCACGGACAGAAGCACTGTGCAGTCCCTCTGCAAAAAAGACTGGTAAAGCAGAGACAAAAGTCAACCTGGAACCCTAAGCACCAAATGAAGGAATAAAGAACTCAGTCAAGCACCAAACAGAATAAGAAATTGAAAGAGAACACAGAACAAGGAGAGCTACAGAGTGGAGTTCCCATACCAGCTAACAAGGCCGGATTCGCCATCTGGGGCTATACCTGCCAAAGAATTCAGACAGGGAGTACAGGAAGCCAACTTCACAGAGCACCCAACAGAAGGCAGGGTACTCGTCAATCGGGGATACACGCTTTCACACCCCACACCCTTCTTCCCTGTACAAGACCTCCACTGCTTGCCAACGGGCCACAGTCGCTCAGCTGGAGACACAAGCTCACTACTGCCCAGATTCGCCATCTTAGGCTACAGCCACCAAAGAACTCCAGATGGGGAGTACAGGAAGGTTAGCTTTACAGAGCTCCCAGCAGAAGACAGTGCACCCACTGAGTGATTGGCCCTACCCGCCTGGAAAAGGTGGTGAGAAGAATTCTACCATAGGCAAGCAAGCAACAAAACACACCAAGCCTGCCTGCCCTGACATAATCAAATAAAACAAAAAAGCAGAACGAAACAATCAAATCTACAATCAATAAACCAAGAAAGTAATTCCTGAATGTCCCGGAGACAGCAGACGATATCAGAACTTATAAAAAAAATTGGGGAGGATGGCTAGAAGAAAAGGCACTGGACTATCTGATAGGGAAAATTCAGAATTCTAATATTCAGAGTTCTCCAACAGATGAATGAAAATGCAGACAAAGATAAGGGAAAAAAAGGCAAAATCATGGAAAATACAGACAAAATCATGAAATATACAGACAAAACAATGGAAGAAATCAGGAAAATAATACAAGAACAAAATGTCAAAATAAGTAATCAGAAATCATACAAAAACAGCAACTAGAAACCCAAAAGATAAACAGCAACGTTTCAGAAATGGATAGTGCAACAGAAGGTTTTAGGAGCAAATTTGAAAGAAGACGGAACTAGCGCATCTGAAGATACCACTTCAGTTGGATACCACTTTGTCTGAGGAAACATCAGAGAAAAGAATAAAGAAACTCTGAGAATTACGTGGGATAGAATCAAAGCAAAAATCTGCATGTGATCGGAGTTCCAGAACAAGAAGAGGAAAAAAAACAGAGAGGATCATGGAAGATTTGCTGACAGAAAACTTCCCTAATATCATGCAAGATGAAAATCAGACTATTCAAGCAGCTCAGTGAACTCCATATAGGATAGACTCGAAAAGAAAAATACCAAGACATGTCATAATCACACTCGCTAAAAACAATGACAAAGAATCCTGAGAGCAGTGCAAGAAAAGGAAAAGTCACATACAAAGGGGAAATAATAAGACTAAGCTCTGATTACTTGGCAGAAACTATGCAAGAAAGAAGGCAATGGGAAGACATATATAAAATCTTGAAAGAAAAAAATTGCCAACCAAGAATAATACCTCCTGAAAAATTCTTGCTCAAATATGATGGCAAAATTAGGACATTTTTCCAAATAAACAGAAATAAAGGGAATAGGTAAAAACCAAACCAAATTTACAAGAACTATTAAAGGGAGTCCTTCAGTTAGAGAACCAACAACATCAGACAACAACCTGAATTTAGCACGCAGGACAGTATCAGCTAGGTACCAATCTAGCTAATGAATTCAAAGGCAAAACTAAACTAAACAATTTACAACAAGTAATCAGAGATATCAATCTGTAAATGACAACATCAGAAAAATAAAAGAGGGAATAAACAGTGTAGGTATAGAACTTTTGAATGGACAGGAAATTAAGGCATTATCAACTAACAAAAGACTGGTTTACATTTAGGAAGACAGGAGTAAATTTCAAGGTAACCACTAAGAAAGTTAACAAACATATTCATCAAAATAAAGAAAAAAAAATATAAAGTCTCAGTACACATAAAATCTACAAAAATGAAAAAAATACACAAATAAAAGGAACTCAGCATATAAGAGCAAGAGGAACAAAGAAAACAGCATCTTAAAAAAGCACCACAAAATAACAGCAATAAACTCACACCTATCAATAATTACACTGAATGTAAATAGCTTAAATGCACCCATAAAGAGACGGGCAGTGACAGAATGGATTAAAAAAACAAAACCCATCAATATGCTGTCTACAAGAGACACATCTTGGAAACAAAGACATAAATTTATTAAAAATCAAAGGATGGAAAAAATATATCAAGCAAACAGCTGCCAAAAAAAGAGCGGGAATGGCAATACTAACCTCAGATAAAATAGGCTTTAAAACAAAATCCACCATAAAATACAAAGAAGGGTATTATATAATGATTAAAGGGGAAATCCACCATGAAGACATAACCATAATAAATATCTATGTATCCAATGAAAGGGCTCCAAAATACATAAACTCTAACAGCACTGAAAAGAGAAATTGATAGATCCACAATAGTAGGAGAGGTCAAGACACCACTCTTGGTAAAGGACAGAAGGTCTAGAAAGAAACTCAACGAAGATACAGAAGATCTAAAGGCCACAACTAACCAACTTGACCTCACAGACATGTACAGAACACTCCATCCAAGAGCAGCAAAGTACACATTCTTTTCCAACACATGTGAAATGTTCTCCAGAACAGACCACATCTTAGGCCACAAAGGAATCTTAAACAAAATCCAAAACACTGAGATAATACAAAGTATCTTCTCTGATCACAATGACATTAAAGTATGAAATAACCACAGAAGAGCA